ATGAAGGAGCAGGCACCTTATCCTGCTAAGAACTTGAAAATCAGGAATCAGGCCAAAACCAAGAATTAAAAGGCAGGAAAAAAAAGGCCAGTGCTGTTTTTTTTCTTTTCTTTGTCTCATGATGCTTGAGCTGTAGGATTTGGCGATCTTACTGAAGTAATGCAAATCATATAATGTTTCTTAAAACCCTTGGTATCCATCTAATTCACATTTCATTCACGTTCGTATTTACATTTTGCATACTTCCTTTCTGCCTAACAGTGAGCGTTTTAAGTTTAAGCAATATTTATGTTTCTGTGTGTTAAGAAAGAAAATAAACATAGTTTCCCATACTCTTTTCAACAAGGCCCACAATATAAAAAGCCTCCAGTGTGAAATTCTATAGATTTAATAACAGCTTAATCCTCTTTCTCAAAGTGCTTTAGAGGGAGGCAAATAGAGGTAATATAACAAATTCTGTGTATGTTGAGGTGACAGCTAGCTGGAATGAAACACAGAGAAGAAAGGCTTTGTGAGATCATTGTCATTTTGCTCCACCCTGGCAAAGAAGGGGACCTGGGGCTACCACGCTGCTGCTCTGCGCAAGGCCAGGGCGTGTTGCGGTGGCACTCTGCAGTACGGTGTGTAGCCTGAGTGGCACAGAGATACCCACCAGCTCCCTTGTTTTGTAGCCAGGCTGAGTGGTTGAGGTGGAGGGTTGGGAGGGCTGCGTTGCTGTCCTGGATGAATGGCTTCTGATAAATAAGTCAATTATTTCAGTGCTGGTTTGGGTGTCTCAGCCTGGCATATCCCCAGACCATATACATGTAAGGGTTTAATTTCTGGCACAAGCTGTAGACCCCGCTCAAAACTGTGCCAACAAACTTGCTGCTGACATGGGACTTGGGAGACAGCAAATGATGTATGTGAAGGTAATAATGTAGACCATTCATTTCTAGAATTTGTCCCCAGTTTTTATTAAGTTTCATAATATAAACTATTATTTAAACAGATTTTAATCAGTATTCCCTGTCTGCCCCCTTTTTATGACTGCAAATATGGTATTTTTAAAATATACATTTTGGATGCTAATAGTTTTTAAGCATGAGGTGTTTTCTTTCTTCTCTTTGTGTTTAACCACAAGTAGAGTCAAAAAAGAGGAAGAGAAAATAGTGAGAGTCCTAATCTAGGGAAGTACTAAAAATGTAATTAATTTAGCTTTAGTAGTTTGGGTTTATATCCAGGATTAATGGATATGTGCCACAAATTGTCCTCTGTTCGTGTCTTCCTTCCATACACTAAAAATGGGGATAAAGTGTTTTCCTGTCTCACAAGAAAAATCCATTAGTATTCATGGGGATCTGAGATATCATTGTGATGAATGCCATGAGAAGCTAATAATCCTGAGTGCAGCGTAGGCTTGGGAAGATTTTCACTAAATAAAGGTTTGGCCAGCAACTGAATGAGCAGGGCTGAACAACTGCCTTTTCTGTTAGATCTCCTCCGGCCGATGGACTAAATGAGGCAGGGATCCTGTGGGAAAAGAGTACTGAGCCATTATGGAATTATAGACTGTGCAGGCTGTTGAAGATGCATCCACGCAAGGAGGCAAAGCTGAGGCTGTGTGAATTCAGACTCCTTTCTTACACCTTCTAGCGTTGGAGTGCTTCACTCTGTAATGCATGCCAAAGCCTTTCCACGTGGGATGGTCTGGGGATGCTGCACAGAAGTCGTATGGGTCCATTAGCTTCCGCAAAAGTTGCCTTCTTTGCCATAAAATATACAGACACACAGAGAGGCATACATGCATGTACATGCACATGCTTACACTGTGTTTGCCAGGAGGTAATGGCATGGTAAGGGTTAATCTAATTCACACAGTGAATCTAGGTTCCTCCACTGAATTTCCTTCCCCTTACTAAGCCGTGGTCTTCCCAGTTGAGGTGTATTATGCAACAAGATCTCACATAGAGGAGGGTTTTGTTACCACTGTGGGAGGAGTAGCCAAGGGATCTGCAATTATGTGGATGGAGAATATAAACCTCTTACACAGGAATGCACAGGAGATTTTTTTTCAGTCCAGAGCCTGCTGTAACAGCGAAGAAGTGCTCTAAAGCCCCTGAATTAAGAGAAGTCTTTTTTGCCCTCCCAGTTTTGGTTTTGCTTAGCCTGTTTTCCTGGAACAGGGTAGAGGTACAACACAGATGGAAACCAGCTCTATTTACCTTCACTGCGGTGTTCATGCTGCAGTCTAATTTTTGTGTCAATATTTTGATGTTTTCACTGCTCAGTGTTTTAGCAGGCACAGCCAAATACTCCAGGATTATAGACTGAGTTTGGAAAGGGAAAAATATCAGGAGAGAGAAAAGCTTTCAGTTTCTTTCTTTATGACTTTTAAAAGATAATAGAATAAATTATGGGTGAGAAACCCTTACAATATAGACTTTGTTAAACTGCCTAAGTATAGATTTTCCTGTCTGGAAGATTTTCTGCTTACATTTTACTTTCTGGATAGTAATTACTGACAACCAAATCCCAAATTGTAGTTGTGATGCCTTTGCAGCAATAATAAAGTTGATTTTCACTCTGTCAACGGCTCAGTGATAATTTTCAGAAGTTATTGTTCAGCTACTGTTGTACTCTGGCAGAGGATGGTGCACCCACATTTCTTGTCAGAAAGCACATTTTTATTCAGAAGAAAGAAAAAAATTGCATCCAGTGAACAGCATAGGTAAAACAGCGAAAATTTAAAATACACAGTACCAGTAATTTTTCAATATATAGTACCTTATAAATACATTCCAAGACCCTGTAACAATCACATTATATTTGATCTGTGCAAATAATGGACAGATTTTTAGCTTAAAGTGTCTTATGATTATTTCTTTTCTTGATTTAATGTATCACATGACCAATTCAGTCAGTATAATCAATAAGGAAACACAGTACCTACAAAACATCAAGGCTAAGGCCCTGGGAAAGCTACTCAAAGTATATGACTGAAAAATCTTGTGAAGAATAAGGTTCAATTCTTTTTCAGGGGGACAAAAGAGGTTTGTGTTCTACTGCAGTTCTTTAGTACAAGATAACCTACAATCAAAAGGAAAGTTTATTTAATGAACTGGGTAAAGCATGAAACTATTTAACCTATTGTTAACTGACAAGTGGTTGTGTATTTCTGAATGTCTGCTTTCCCTCACAGTTCTTTGGCATGTCACTAATTTGATGCAGATACCCTCTTGAATGCCCCTGAAAAACAAATAAACCACCAGCAGTCACATAGCCAAGCAGCCAGACACGTTCAGTGTACTCTGTATACAAGGTTATGTTTTAAATTTGGGTGCTGGGGCTGATGCTTACACCTAAATTTGTATTTTTATGCCTGGATGCTGGTTCAATAGCAAATACAGAACAGTAAACTCAAGTTTGCATATAGATTTTCAGTGTATTATCAGTGATTTTAAATACAGTATAAAATAGCTTATAGGCTATTATCTCTACAGTTAATTTTATGTTTGATAATATCCCCATCCTCCTTAGATATTTACTGTATTCTGAACCATCATTAAAAGGCACTTGTGTAAGATGAAATCTTAGCTCCACTGAAAGCAAGACAAAACCTCACTGACTTCAACAGAGCCAAAATTTTTTTATGCTCATAAGCTAAACTTGCTAGCTGGCTACATCGCACTGGTTTTCACAGTGTGCCTTACTTCCCTTGAGAATTGTAGGAGACTTGATTATCAAGGGGAGTTTCTTACACTGATCCAGCTGCATTGGTTGTTACAGGTTTCGGATTATCTTGCACTACAGTGAAAGCATCATACAAGTACATGATCCATTTTCTGCACATGCTCACCCTCTTTATTGGGTTCACTGTAAATGTCTTTTGATTTCCACTGAGTTCTGACAGAAGCCCAAAGTGATATTCATTATAATTCATCCATTTTACTTTGATTTACCGCTTGCTTATTCATAGAACAGTATCACCAATGATCTTTAGGAATAAATGTTGTTTCTACAATGAATAAGCATGGAAATGTTTAATTGCTATACTCTTATTTAGCGAAGTCTAGTGTAAAATATGGTACTTGAAAGATATTATCAAAATGGTTTGATAAATATACCTATATATTCAGTCTAGAAGTTACTTCCAACAAGTTCATCATTAGTTGATAGATACATTTTAATGCCTATATTACTACAGTGACAATAACATGTCTTCAAACTAAGCAGAAATTAAATCTTAGCCTAAATGTTCTGAATATATTTTGAGCAACACTAAACTATAGAACCTTCTATGGTTTATATCTCAGAATGCTGTCTGTAACACATATTCACATATTGTTACTATTTTAATATTAGTGAAAAAGGACTTAGAAAAGGGTGGCATAAATTTTAGAAAACAGTAGTCTACCACTAGTACAATGTAGAAAAGGAAACTCGAGCAGTAACGGTACATGGCTGTACATGTCAGTGTAGCTAACGCTATTGCAGTTGGAGCAGGTCAGCAATGTATTGTCTTCTCTGATGCCCACTTTTGATTTCCTGTTTTCACAACAGGATGTTATCACCAAAGGAAGCATTTCTTTTCAGGATACTCCCCTCCCCAGAGTGGCAGTCTCTGGTGTTCAATAAACCAGAGCCAGAGTAAAGCCTGTTCCCAAGGCTTGTTGTCCTCCGTATCCTTCATAGACCTGAACTGGCCTCTCTGGGTATAGCTAATTGAAGAACTGTTTTTGCATGGACTGTCACAGATGCAGAAAGGAAGTGGAGAATGATAACCTTAACTTTAGATCGTATTCCCTGAATTTTACTTGGCCAGATAAATGCAATACGAATGTCATACAAAGCAAGGGATGACAAAACCCTGAAATCCTAACAAAGGTTAAACGTACGTTTACAAAGGTGTAACCAATTAACTTGTAATCAGCTTCAGTGACTTTTCTTGCTTTCACAATTAGGAAGACCAAAATAGACTCTGATCTTCAATGAAGTTCTCACTTGCATAGAAATCTGCATCAGTCATTGTCATAGATGCAATCTGAAACGGAAATAAAATGCAAAAATATTAGTATTGTATAGTACCTAGACTCAAGGATGAAGTTATTTGGCATAATTCAGTGTAGTCATTGTATTGTTTGAAATGTTCAACATACCATCACCAATATCATCGTAAATCTCTCCATCACTGCAAGTTGAAAAAGAAAAATAATTTAATAATTGAGACAGCAGATATATGTTACTGTTTGCAGGCAGATACAAAATTGTGTAGCAGCATGGTGTAGGCATGTTAACAAGTAATTCATCTGCTAATGAGGAAAGTGAAGCCTTTGTGGTGGCAGAGCAAGAGGGTCAGGTCAAGGGATTTTCAGTGAAGGGTAGAGCTGGATACATTCCTTTCTAAAGAGAAAGGCTTGCTTTATTAAAATATTGTGGGGTTTTTTTAATTAAACTTTTAAGTTTTAGTATTCTAACAAACCCATAGAGATATTTCCATAAAAATTAAATACTTACTGTGTTTTTTTATTTAAACAAAAACCAGAGAAGATGAGCAAAAAAATCAGTATACACCCTTGAAATCCTTATTTGTTTCTGTACTTGGCAATGCCATAATGATTTTTGAAGAGTAGCTTTTTTTATTAGATAATGAATTTACGTAATATCTATAATTGAAACATGCTCCATGAATAAGAATTTTCAAAACATGTCACTTAGATACATGCACAGGCCCATGGAAGCCAATAAGGCTATTTATATATATAAGTTAAATGTGCACATAATTTTTTGCAGGCCTCAATTCTAAAAGTGACATCTGATTTGACATTTAAGGTTCTAACATAAAGCCCATTGAAGGAAATGGAAGGCTTTGTCTGACGAGAGTTTTGGATTAGAACCTAAATTTTGAACTCCATGCAATTATTTGGAGCAACACTAAGCCAAATCTGCTCAATCCCACTAAGACTGAAATAAAAATAAACCTGAAGAAAAGCTGGTCCATTTTAGTTAAACATTTGAAAATGGCATCAATACACTTAATCACATTAATGAGCAGTTCAGTGATAGATTCTAGAACAACTGATTTTTAACTTATGTAATTTTTTGTGGTTTGAACAAGAGTTTATGGTTAAGCAACGAGGAATAGGGCTCTGGAAAATTTTCAGCATAGATATATGTAGCTAATTCTTGAAAAGTCTAAACTCCATAAACATTACTCAATTTGCAGGACTAGAATGACATACTAAAATAATTACATTTCACTTTCCTTTAACAGTTTAGAACAAAATTGGTTATAAATTTTTTTTTATAAGATTGCTTTGTACTTACTTCTGAACTAAGTTGCTTCTCAGAACATAGCCATCTGTAAAATTGAAATATATATGTATTTAAGTTTAATTTAAATATTTGTGTGGTTTCTTCTGTTTCTAGCACTAGTGAAATGCACTTTTTCTCTTTTAGATATTTCAGATGGAAAGACACAATAGACAGATAACAATGTACAATGGATATGCACTCAGGGAAAATTTTGCTATGTCCAATTTTAGTTGGAATTACTCTTATTTGTTTGTTTGGTATAGCATGGTGCCTTAGATAGGGAAACGGGATACTAGAGTAGCTCCAAGACCAGTTAGTTGCCTACTATGCCAGATACTTTACATATTCATAAAATGTCATTTCTCCTGTTCTGTTGCAATAGTTCCCATTGTGTACAAAACTAGTGCCAAAAGGAGAAAATAGTAATATAAAATTTCATCTTATATTTTAGTTTCCTGGTTGTATGAGAGGGGTGTGAAGCTATAGCTATTAACACAAAGTGTAGTACAAACTATACACAGACTGAAGCACAAAAATGAGCCATAATAATAAACACTTCATAATATTTATAATAATAACTAAGAGAAATATGAATAGTTTCCTACAGGGACAAAAATGTATTTCAATATGTATACACCAGTTAATTTTCATTCACTGTAATTGCTTAAAAATTTAACTTTATCACATTGATAAGAACTGTTTACATGGATAATGGAAATACCTTAGACGAGTTACTTGCTAGTGAATTATTTGATTACTCTGTTGCATTATTGATGAAATCAGATAAAACTACACATATTCTTCAATATTTTTAATCTCTTGAAAAAGTTACTTGCTGTCTTTGGTAAAAGATATCTACTGAAATACTTGTCAATTGGTATAACAGAAGTAAAGAGAAAAACATAACAATAGTCACATATTTGTAGGTAAACATTAGTATGTCAGTGCTAAATTAGGACAGTTCTAAAGAAGAAATGTGATTTTGTGTTATAGTTGAAATTACTATGTAAGTTTCCTTTTATTCATTAGGAGGCTTAAACGGTCACATAAAAATTACATTTTTTTACTAATTCATATACAGTTCATAGGTTTTAGAATAAATTTATTAGCTTAGCTTGTAAAGTTCCTTGAATTCTTGGAGCTGGTACTGCTCCATGTACTTAGAGAAACATTGTATAATACAGAAAATATCAGTTTTTTGCTCGTATTTTTGGTGGTTATACTTGAGGTCAGCCTAGCTTAATCCCCAGATTTACTTTTTTATCTTAAGGAATTATTTCCTCCTTCACAATAATTTTTCATTTCTGGTACACAAGACATGAAAGTGTCTTTTCTTAAATGCACAGTAATGTCCAGCTAAAGAATCTCATATTTTGCATTAAGCCTTTATTACATGCAAGTCTTAATTTTATTTTAACTGAAATCACCCTTTTCAAGATCTGTAACTTTTCTAGTATGGGAAACCTTCCCTTGAAATTGGCATCAGACACAATGAGCTAATACTGCTCCCCAAAGCTGCTGAATTATCCATGTCTTAATCTGGCCAATGTTTCGATACATAAAAATGTCCTATGATTCCTATATGGAATACTGGACAAGTTGTCTGAGAAGACTAACACCACAAATAGTCTTGCAAATAGTAATAAGTAAGTAATTCTTAGTTACAGGTTTTCTTCATAAAGAAACATTTACATAATTAATTTTAATTGGACGTATTTATGTCTTAAAATAAGTAGATATCAGATATTGCTGTAAATCTCAAATCTAAATAATTTATTTCCCAGAATATTCTATATATAAGGTAGAATAACTATATGCTCTGTGAAGACCACAATACATTAAAACCACTGCATTTTAAACAAAAACTTCTTTTCTGTGCTACAGCTGAAGGTTGCCTAAAACTTTTCACAGAATCAAGGAACTGTTTAGGTTGGAAAAAGACTTTTAAGATCATCAAAGACAACCATTAACCTACCACTGCCAAATCCACCACTAAAACATGTCCCTGTGTGCCACTTTTACATGTCTTTTAAATCCCTCCAAGGATGGTAACCCAGCCACCTCCGTGGGCAGCCCTTCCAATGCCTGACAACCCTTCTGGTGAATAAATTTTTCCTAATACCCAATCTAAACCTCCGCTGGCACAACTTGAGGCCATTTCTTGTTGCTTGGGAGAAGACCAACCCCCACCTCTCTGCAACCTCCTTTCAGGGAGTTGTAGAGAGCAATAAGGTCTCCGCTGAGCCTCCTCTTCTCCAGGCTCAACACCCCCAGTTTCCTCAGCCACTCCTCATAAGATTTCATGTGATAATATTTTATTTGACACTAATTGCTTTAGCTTTGGTTTAAGATTTATCAGTTATATGAATGAAAAAATAGTTCTATGCATGTAATGTTTGATTGCAGCTTTGTCAGACATAATTTGCTTAATTTGCCTGTATTTATATATTGAGGGACATGAAGATTTGATACTTACATAAATTCTATTACAACTTTTGCTGACTAAAAAATTCAAACTTCAGGTAATCTTTAATATTCAAACAACCCAGTGCTGCAGATTTCAGTCACCTGTGTATTCTCTCAGGATGATTGCATGTCGGTACACATAGGGAAAGCTCTGTCTATTCAGCATATTCTTAGCTTGGTTGTCTTTCCTCAGATTTTATTATCTGGGATAAAGGCATGGAAATTGATTTTTTTTTTTTTAAAGATGTCATCTTTTTAAAATGCTCTTTACACAGAGTCTAGTAATTTCCAGGATCCCTGAAGTATCCTGGGAATCACTTAAAATCATTTGGCTAATCTAATCTTCTCTGTATCTTCTTTAATTTTCTCAAGTGAAATACATGAAAGCAAAATTCCTTCCCTTACAGTCATGGTGTACACAGAGTGCTTGCAAGCCAGATGTGCACGTGACAGTCCTTGTACCACTGCAAAGCCCGATCCAGGTTCTTCTGATGGTCCTTAGCCCCTAAATATGTGGCAAATACAGCTTCTGCTGATTTCGCTCACTTTCAAAATAACTAAGCCAGAATGACACATCCAAAGTTTCTGTTTCTAACACATTTATTCATATTTATGTGGCTTCCACAATAGAGAACAAGGCAGCAGGTTGGCACACTCCATCCTGATTACTTAGCGTCACTGAAAACTATGACACATCGGGCCAGCTGGTCTCTGACTGTGTAAAGGAATCTCGGAGAGGACACAAATTTTCAGGTGCTGAAGTCCATTTATATCCTAACGTTAAAGCAAAATCTGTGAAAGTGAATTGAAGGTTTTTTGTGTGTTTCAAAAGGTACGTGGGTCAGACCAAGGCAGCAGTAGGAAGGAATTTGAGAAGGTAGATGAGAATCAGTTCCTTGTTTCACTTTTGAAATTTCAAATCTTTTCGTAACAATTTAAGTAAGTGGTAGCAGAATATGTTCCTAAGATTATGAGCCCTTTCTTAAAAAGGTAGGAAAACATTTAATATAATTTGTAATTTTGTTAACTGCCAGTAGAGGCATTAAGCTATGGAAGTGCATCGTAAGTTAAAAATCAAATGGAAGCAATAATGTGCAAGAAAGTAACAGAAACATCCTTAATTGTTGATTTTCAGTCTATCTGGCCTCTAAAGGGTAAAATTATGGCTTTAAGATATGAGGAACTAGAGCAAATAACCAAAACTCTCATGCACTTAAATAAAGTAGGATTCAAACTTCACTAATTAATGTGAAAATTGACAGAGATCTGTTCAGAATTTTTTGGGGAGGATAATTTTCTTTCTTTTGCTCTTTTATGCATAGCAAAGCAGTAGCTCCTGTCACTGTTTGAAAGGCTTTGAAGACTTGGGTGAGGAAAACAGCCAACATGAACTACTTTCTACTTTGTTATTAGCTTGATTCAAAAATCACAGCATCGAAAGCAGCTCTTGGGGAAGTGGCTACACTAGTGCTGTCCGTATTTTGAAAAACATGTGTTATGCAATAAATTCTTCCTCACCCTGTAGCCCTGCCTGGAAGAAGGCTATACTCCAGACTGTAACAGTTGAGTACAGAGGGGTAATAATACAGAAGGCAGGTGACTGAATACCCTTCAGAGATTTATGGCATCAGACTCGATTCTACATCCGTCAGAGGTAAAAAGTAAAGGTGAGCGGAAGGATGCTGCTACTTTGAACATAGTCTGTTCCTACACAACGTGAATTTTCATTAGGAGATTTGAAAAGTATCATTAACAGAAGCACGTTAAGAAATTGAAACCAACAGTAGATGGTCCAGACTTCTCCAAAAATGCAAAACCTTCTGCAATGCACACCCTGGCCAAATGTTTCAAAGAAACGCCGAAAGGCCTCATGCAACTACCGAAACAAGCAGGCAGGCCAATGAAGACACAGGCCTTGGATCAGCTAGGGATTGGAGGGAAGGCTCCTAAGCAGTTTGCCCTCCACCCTGTTGAAAAAAACTCCATCTCTGGCAATCTGAAGTAAGAATATTGTTACTGATTTTCCTTTGGCTGCAATCCATGGGCAAGTGCTTCCCAGAGGTGCAGCAAGGATTTTAATGTTAGTAGATGCTGTGGGGTGTCATAGCTATACTCTTTTGGGTGAAGAGAGGGAGACAGAAGCAACAAAAAACAGCTACCAAGCTTAGTTGATGCAAAGCAGGATTTACATAACTTACATTTGGTGTCTCTGGTCTATTGGAGTAGTAATTTTTTAAGGCAAGCCGCACTTAAAACACTGTAATAAAATAACAATAACCTACATCTTGTCAACTACCTGGCAAGGAAAAAGATGAATACTAGGCTCTGCTTTAAATATGACAAGTAAGCGGCTTTTACATGTCATGATTCAATTGTTCTTTGACAATTTGATTTGTACCACTGGTTTTTAATACAACTTACATTTTCCTTCTTCATTCCTGCACAGGACTTTGGTATCATCTGTACTCTCTATAATTTCAAGAGGTTCCCCTGGTTTAACCTGTAAGTCTTTAGATCCCCATCGTCTCTGAGACAAATTCTGGACTGTGGTGGTAGAGTACAGAACTTTAATTTCACCTTCAAACTGCAAAAATAAAATAGAGAGCTGCTGGTTAAAAACCCCTCAACATAAAGCTTATGATCATACATCAATATATTCCCACTTATTAATAAATTTTTGAAAATTAGTCAAATAATTGTTTATGCTATGTGCTTGTGCTTGCCATTTAGGCTTATGCTCAGATCACTGCTTTTACAAGTAGTAATACTTTACCTTTCAAAGGCAAAATAACATATTATTTACAAATTAGGGGATACAGATTAGAGGACAACATACAGATATTTAATCTTTGTATTTTATGTGAACAAAACTTTGAACAAAACTCACTTTGAACTTTTTTCTGAACTCTTTCTCTTCTTTTTCCATCTTTTTAAGGTTTTGTGCATCTTTTTCATCTGATTTACGTTTTCCAAGGCTTGCTGATTTTGATGAACTAAAACAAAAGGTTACAGATAAAAAACAAAATTAGCAACACACCTGAGGTGTTGACAACATTTCTGATACTTTTAGTGAAAATGCATGTGCCTTCATGTGTCTTTAGTATGCTTTTGTTGCTCTACTAAACTAATAAGGATAATACAATACAAATATGATTTAAAAATAAATACAAGGTTGGGGTTGTCTTTCCTGCTTTTCTTTTTTAATGAGTTCTGATGGTAATGTGGCCAGCAGGTCGAGGGAGGGGATTCTCCCCCTGTACTCTGCTCTTGTGAGACCCCACCTGCAGTTCCGTGCCCAGCTGTGGAGCTCCCAACATCAGAAGGACATGGACTGGTTGGAGCGAGTCCAGAGGAGGCCACAAAGATGCTCCGAGGGCTGGAGCACCTCTGCTGTGGGAACAGGCTGAGAGAGTTGGGCTTGTTCAGCCTGGAGAAGAGAAGGCTCCGGGGAGACCTTATAGCACCTTCCAGTGCCTGAAGGGGCTACGAGGAAGCTGGGGGGGACTTTTTACAAGGGCCTGTAGTGACAGGACAAGGGGTAACGGGTTTAAATTGAAAGTGGGGAGGTTTAGATTAGATATCAGGAAGAAGTTCTTCACGGAGAGGGGGGTGAGGCACTGGCACAGGTTGCCCAGAGAAGCTGTGGATGCCCCATCCCTGGAAGTGTTCAAGGCCAGGCTGGATGAGGCTTTGAGCAGCCTGGTCTAGTGGAAGGTGTCCCTGCCCATGGCAGGGGGGGTGGAACTAGATGGGTTTTTAGGTCCCTTCCAACCCCAACCATCCTATGGTTCTATGATTCTATGATTCTAATATATCTATCACATAAGTAAATATGGAAAGTTATTCGAAGTTTCAAGCTGCTACAGCAATGAGAACTTTACATCTACCAAAAATAGTTTAGATAAATGATACCCATCACTTTAGAACTGTGAGACAAGGGGCAATTTTTGTGAAGTCTATGTATCTTTGGGCAATAGGCTGACTAACACATGCTCTACAGTGGGTGCAGCTTTCGTACAGTAGCTGTTAGTCATGTGTCCTCACAGAAGACCTTGCTACACCAGCAAATCTGCATCGCATGACCCATTTCAAGCTCTGTTGTTTTTTCCACAACCCTGACACTATTGGCTTGTGCCAATGAGCACAGAAGGGTTTCATGCCCTAGCTGCCCTTCCTGATGCTGTACCTGGGAGTTTAAAGTCTGATGATTACATTTTGGTCGTTCCTGATCTCAAAAGGGGTTGTGGAAAACAATTTCCCTGTTGATAGATGGATGTGTGTGGGTGAGAACGGATCTAGATTTAGGTCAGGAAGGCCATGTCTTTTCCTTTGGATACAGTTCAGAGAGCTCTCTGTTTTAATGCCTTCAGAATAGATTATTGCAGTGCTATCTGTAGCTCCTCCTGAGTGGAGTTAGTGATAACAGAATGTGAAATGTTGCAGTCATCTTCACAGATGCATCTGTGCTCGTAACACATCTGTGCTCCAGAGATGGCCATAACATCCTGGTCCAGGAATAAAAGTTTTCCAAGTTAAACTTTATACCTCCAGATGTGTTTCATGCTTATAACTCAGGGCACTATCTCCTTTTCTCTTAAAATACTGTGGCAGCTGAGGTCAAGTACTTATAACAATCCCCAAATTCTGATAGGAAGAGGGCTGCACGCAGAGAATCTACAATGAAGTACCTTTAGGCCATGCATTCATTTTGACCTCTTGTCTGTCAGGGATTGAATTTGATGAAATTCAAAGCATGCTTAATTGTTCTATAGTCTAATTATTATTTCAATCTGAAGCGGAGGCAGGGAGCATTCAACTGCTATTGTCAAGGGCAGGGTCAGGAGAACTACAAAACCTTACAACACCAAATAAAGCATACATTGGTAGCAATCTGCCTCTTGTAAATAATGTGGAAATGCTTTATAGTGTAGTACAGATTTCTAATCAGGGGAGTAATTCACATTTGCACTTGCTTGAGTTCAGGCGGTGGAGGAGGGAAGTCTGAGGAATCTACATCATCATAAACATCATTGTCTCCACAATCTGAAACAATAGTGTTTAAAAGAATGGAAAATTATTATGTGATCTTAAGTAGTGAATACATTGTGTTACAGTCTGTTGTCATGTAGCTAAGTTGACAAGACATTATGTCAAGTACTGTAGCTATTTATTGTCTATCATAACTGTGAGTTCTGTTTTGCATGATCTACTGTGCAAAATAAACACCAGCCAATCTTTTCAGAATAAGACTCTATTAATAATAATAGGTATTCACTGATATTTTAATCTTCTTAAGCTGAAGCAAGTTTTAGCACATGTTGGCTAATGCAATAACCTTTAATCTTAATTTTAATTAGTCCATTTCCCACTGTGTTTCTTCAAAGTACATTTTTGGAGTTTGATTTTGATGTACTCTCAGGCACTTCTATAGCACTCTGGTCAATGCAACATTGCTTAGAAGTGGCTACGAATCACACGCATGTTAGTTTTTAGGCCATCTTGCAATGCCAAAACAGTGAAAAGAATTCTTACCCCAAAAATATACTTTGAATCACATCCAGCGTATTTGTCGTGAGGAAGCAATTGTTCAACGTATCAAAACAGTGCCTAGCAGAATCACTAGATAAAAGGTTTAAAACTTAGTTCAGGCAGCATCCTCAAAAACTGTAAGAACTTGCCTTTTATTCCATGGCTGAGCTGATATTTATGAGTATATTTTATCTTACAAAGGCACTGCAAGTGATAAAAATAACAACAAGCATCACTTTCTGCTTTTGAAGTCTTGCATTAAGTGCTTCTTTCAAAGTGTATCTATTCATACTTAATGCCAAATAAAATGAACTAGTGGAAATCTCACACATAGAAAACATCACTTCTTAAAAAATATATTAAATTGTTTTTTAGAGAGCTTGCAATATATATGTATCTTCTTGTCTGAAGCCAAATCAGTCACAATATTTGAAATTTGTTTGCTGGAACTGGGTAAGCAATGGGAAATCCTGTTTCCTTCCTTGGATGTATTTTTGTGGCTAGCATGATACAGAGTAATGTATACAGAAAAAAGGATCAGGAATCAATAGCAGACTGAACAATAGGCTATTAACTACCTTTTCCAAACTGCTTTGTTGAAGAAGACATGCTGGAAAAAGAAAAGGCTCATTAAGTATTTGTATCACATTAGTAGGCTTTGCATCATTTAAATAATTTAAAAAACTTGTGACACAAAGGCTCTAAGTAATCTCCAGAAATTTTGAAGCTCTGTTGACACCGGCAATACTCACGGTCTAAATGTATTTTAACCACTGAATCAAAGTAAACTGGTTTAGAATTGAATGAGAGAAGACGGTAGTAAAACCACCAACTGCCACCTAAGATGGATAGAAGACAATGCTTTAATTTTTCTGTTTGGCATGTTGTTTCTAAAATCTGGATGAATGGGACTAGAATTACCAGTTTATCTCAGCTACAAACAGGTGAGCAAAGTACATTTTAACTGAAGTTACAGTAAACTTAGATCACCAGAGTGGCACAAAGATGACTGATTATTTTGGCGCTCTGAACCAAAAAAAATTTTGGGTATAATCACCAGACAGCAGCAAATGCAGCTTGTTAAGAGAATAATTATACTGTGCAGGCAAAAAGAAAGGAGGTCAGTGTTTTTGCAGAAAAGTATCAGGCTGATCTGCGATTTCATGCGTGATTCACTAGGCTTCTGTGAGAACATGTTAGTAGCATGTGATCAATGCTCAGTTAATGTGCACTGTGATTTCCTGGCAGACTCTTACAATAAATCTCCATTATCTTCTGCCCCATTGACTTTGGTTGTTTTTTCTCGTACACTTTTCTTTTTGTCATCTTTGACCTTTAGCCTCTTCAAGATTCCCCATGACCAGATATCATTCTTATCTTCATCCTGTGATACAGACCTTTGGAGTATGCATGCAATTATCACAATGTAAAAGGCAACATTCTTTTTAAAAGGTCCAGTTTACATTCTCCATTGATGCACATAATCCTCATCCGTGCCAACCATGTATATACCTCAAGATGAGGACACTTACCTAAAAGCTAAACATTAGCAGGCTAAACTAGAAATATGTCTGTTAGGTCATAGGTAGAGATTGAGATATATTTGCAGGTATAGATATTAATCTAGTGGGTTACTGTTTTCATGCTGTTACTCAGCAAGCTAGCATTTCACGGTTTTATTTTCATTTCAGAGCTATTCTGTCTAGTTGGGGATTTGGGGATTTTCATAGTTGCAGCTGCTTTTGCAGACATGCCAAAATTAAATACAGAACAAAACTTCTCCAAAAGACCAAAGAACCCTTTTTTTTTAGTTTCATGGATCCTTCCTGATGTATATCCACTTGCTGATCATCCTAATACTTGCTAAATTATTATGCCTAATTCAAAAATACTAAAAACTGAAATGAAAACACTCAAAGAAGGAAATTATTTAAATGAAATAAAAAACCTACCTAGTTAAAGTGTCTTCATCATCAATCCCATCATAAATTTCTTGATCAGAAGGAGGTGGGAACATCTCTTTAACAGATCAAACAGTGAATTACTGCATTTATATTTAATGCTGCTGAATAGGTTATTCATTACTAGCCTCTTAAGCATGTCAGATGTGTGTGCAGTTTGTGCAATATCCTTGCAGATGGAATCTTTCTGTAAACCAGCACAACCTATTTATTAAACCAGTGATTTAGACTTAGCCCAGTTGGAATTGCCATCCACAGCATTTAAATGTGGCACTGCCAATTACAAGAGCATGAATACTGAGAAAAATGCATTTACACTGTATTTGATGAATTTGTAAATGGCTGATTTGGCCCAGTCATTATGATGACTGATGGCTTTCAAATTTTTGTGTGTGACTTGAGTGATGACTGAAGATGTCAGAGCAACACTCTCAGCACGTGACACCTTGTGTGCACCCACAGAAGACAGAGGCAAGTGCAATGTAAGCTCCCCGTTTTGGTCTCAGTTCTGACCTTTGAGCCCAACCTCCCTCAGTGCTGGGTTAGCTCAGTTTCCATCTCCAATTCTAGCCACTGGTCAGTGTAATCACTGAAATCTGTACTTAGCTGGCAGCAGCTTCACTCAGCACTGCCAGGAGATGCTTCTGCCATGACTAGTATCTAAACTCCAAGCTGAGAAGATCAGCTGTGCTCTTGTGATAAACAGAGAATGCTACATAAATATATGTGCTACCAAAGGGGAAACTGGGTTTGAATGTGTGTTCTTGACAGTGTGAAGCTGCTGCAGTCATACTGGTTAGGACTCCAGAGTGTTGCTGAAACTGAAGTTTCCCTTAACTCTGTCAGCAAAATGCAGCTTTAATTGGTAGCATTGCTGGCTATTTCAGAATTGGATTTCTCCTGCAAAAACCTCTTGGTTATATTAATAGTTTTATCAGGTATGTCTGTGCTGGCTTGTGGGATGAATTACCTTTACACCAAAATATAAAAGTTTTGTAATTTTCTGGCATGCTTCTGATTCACAGTGTCTGAAGACAAAACTTCTGTCTCACCCAAGTTCTCATGGGCTGAAAGAAAGTTAATTTGGCCACTATACTTCCTTGTCTCTTGTCCATTAACTAACATTTAACATGCTTATGGATAATTACTGTGTTATTTAGAAGCTGCAGAGGTCTATATTGGAAGGCAAGCAGTACACAGAAACAACAAACACCCCCCACCCAACCAGTTATATGTAGAACTTACTTCCAGCTCCACTTTGTTCACCACTCGGACTGGAAAAGCAAACAAGAGATATTTTAGAGAAAAACATTCATCTTTTGGAGAAAGAAAACACCATGATCACCCACCAATTTTGCAGTTATTAGTTCTAAACCTTTTGGCTTTTTCATTTGTCTCCGTTGCCAGCTGAGCACCACAAAGTCTGCACTGGAAGCTCAGGAACATGTTTGTGTGTTCTATGTGGGCAACAAATGTGCTAGGTTTTTTTTTTCTCTCTCTCTGTTTTTCACCACACACACCAGTATCTTACAGTCAATTAGTAGTTGCATTCTCGTTAATGCTGAGGAAAATATGTCATCTAATTCTCAAGTGAATTAGCTCTTAGATGAGGAGAGATTAACTTCTAGTAGATTCAGGTAAAGCAAGAAAAAATACTTTTCCTTAGAAAAGAATATATTAAAATATATTTATGTCTTTAGTTAATGCAAAAAAAAAAAAAAGGACAGTATTTCATAAGTAAAGCTGTGAATCAGATTTGCATAAATCAATGCAGATATTTCAACCAATGAAGGTGCACATTTTCATATGAGCAGAACATTTGATCCAAATTGTTAGTATGTATTAGCAACTGTTAGCAATTTCCAATAAAGTGAAATTTTCAAGGAGATGCAAATTGATATCTACAGCTATAACAATTTACTATATTTAGAATATATTTTATGTTCCTCTCTATACCTTTCAAGTACTTAGGATCATAGGATAATTCATGTTGGAAAGGATATCAGGACATCATGTAGTCAAATTTGATGGGAATAAAAATATAATCTGACCGAACACTAGAGAGTGCATCCACAACCTCTAGATTCATCTCTTATGAAGGGATTTTCTTGAGATTAAATGGTAAACAAATGAATTTATTGCTCAACTAGCTTTCATTGGATGATGCTTTAAACCTCTAACTGCATGCTTCTAACATATCAAGGATTCCATGTTAGCTCAGTGTTCTAACAGTAATTGAAAAAAACCTGAGATGTTAACAGTAGCTGAGATTATTTCCAGGTCAGAGCCTTACTTAAACATATGCATCAAAACAAGATATTTGTTAAACTGCTGTGCCAAGGAATACATCAGTCTTAGTCACTTATTAATTTTGGAATATTAACAATACTACTGAAAATGAGATAATACTATTTGGTCAGGAGGCTTTTTTTTGTATGGCATTCTTACAGTGGTTTCAAAACATGTTGATGTATGTGAGACCTTCCAACAATTCATGCTCATGAACTGAACAGAATGCTATTAATCACTAGAGAAGATAAAAATGTCAAAATACAGCTTAAAGGATTTAATGAATCTGAGCCATTCATTCATCCTTCCAAGTTCCTTACACTGTTATTTTAGTATGCAACGGTGTAAGTATTCTCTTTTGCTTTTGAATTCAACACATTTTCTAAATTCCTTGAGTTGGGGTGGTTAATTGTAATGCTTCCCATAGTGAAACGGATTGGCCAAAGATAATTCTGCAATGAATTACCTAATGCTGAGATTGCCTAAAACCTAGAACAGCCAAAGCAACTCTTCTGGCTAGGTTACGATGCCATGAGACCAATGTGCAGGGGGGAAAATGATGGTGAGTAACCTGGAAAAATACCAGATACAAAACTATATTGGTTGCTTAGAGAATGCCATCCTGAAGGCAAATATTTCCAAATGCTGTTTCTGGAGCTCGTGGGAATGTTCTGGAAGCCGAGAATGAGCTGCACCCAGCAGCCAGCCAGCTGTGTTCCCTTTATTCCAGCCAGGCCTCTAAGTTATGGCGCTGGGAAGCAGCAAAACAGGTTAACAGCTGTGTTTCATGATGACTGTCCTACACACTGAAATCCTCTACACCCATATGCAAATCTCTTATTGAATCCCAGGGTATGTGTTTCTGCACATCAGGATACATAATGGAGCATGAGCACTAGTTTGTTGCATCACATGACAGAAGCAGATTTTATGTGAGGGCAGGTAGCAGAAGTACCACTGTCATGCTGGGTCCTGTGACAGCCTTGACACTTGTCACAAGATCAGTAGGATATTTTCCTTCCAGCAAGTTTGATATGCTGCTGGAGGTGGCAGTTCTCTAGCTGCAGATCTGTTTGACTTGGAAAACGTGGCACACTGAAGTAGGGAGTCTGCAATGTAGCACTACACTGCAAATGCCTGTGAGACTGTGCCATGGAGGAGAAGCTTCTGGTGAAGTCAAAAAAGTATAGCTCATACCCATCTCATGGGATTTTATAGGCCTTATTTTCAGGAGTAAACACATTAGCCACACACTCTTCTGAAGGGCTATCCTAGTCATGTTTCCAGAAGTCCCTTCTCTTCAAAAGAAAGAGGTAGGAAGACGAATAGTCTGACAGCAGTAAGAGTGATCAGGAGTTCCACAGTGCTGTGTTTCCATTGCTTTTAGAGTCATTTGTTCTTGCGTGTTAGAAAAGGCAGCATGTGACTTCAAAAGACAACCAGAAAAGAAAGGGAGGCAGAGAATTGCAATTCCTGCAGGTGATTTGTAATCCTGCATGTTTTGCATTTTGTTTTCTTCTGGACTGCAATGCAGTACATGCTAATCCTCTTCCAAAAGTATGGATTCCTCCTGAGTATGAGTGTTTAAAGATGATGGACTTTATAACCCATTCTTGGTCCTCTGACGACTTCAGTGTGAACAGCTGTTACATGCTTCCTAATAAAAATGGCTGTGCTTTTGTGGCAAAAGTCTGCTTTGTTGTTGTAAAACTTCCCCTGTCTAGGCTGACTGGGGGGAATCATTGGTTCCTTTTCATGTGTTCCTTATACATACCTGCTAATACTGTCCTGCTCTCCAACATCATCGTACACCTCTTGGTCACTCTCTGGATGTTTTGCAGCAGCTCTGGTAGATTGTTGTTGCTTTCTTCTTAAAGAATCATAATCAATCTCCACCATGGTTGTTTTAATGTACCCATCTAAATGAATGAAACCATGTAATTAGGCAGAGAGATAGTTTTACAGCTCATGATAAAGGGATGAGTTTGACAGAAAGTTCAGAATCAGATTGAATTGTTTTGTATGATCTTTGAAAAATTTAAAGAAGCATCTCATTCCAAGCAGTCTCAGTCTCTATCTGTCTACACAGATACAAACCTCAGGCCTGGCTCAGATCTCCCCCCAAACCCTCCTCATCTGATGTCAAGTTAACTTTGCTTTTATTTGCGTCTCAGCTACAACAGAAGAACTTCCTGTGCCAGACTCCAGGAATCACAGGACAAGTTCCCTTTCCCAACTTGCCTTGGGACCACTGCAGTCTTGTGGCATATTTTAGGGCAGCCCATGACATAAATATTCTGACAGATCGTTAAAAGGAAGAGACACTTTGCATTCATTTTGCTTCAGGTTGGTAGACACTCTGCAGCTGCATTGCTGCCCTCCTGTCCCGGGATCTTCACTAAAGAGATCTGGTTATACCCCTGGGTGCAATGGCTCAGCAGAAACTTGCAGCAGAGCAGTTGGCCTGAGATTGGGAGCTCTGTCTCTGCCGAGGGGAATTTTAGACAGACTGTACAGAGGAGAGCATGAATGGGTTTTCTCGAAGGTGAAAAATGCTTGTGCATTTCTTGAAAATGGAAAAACCCCCACTTTGCTGCTTCTGACTGAACACAGTTGTTAGTGTGCTTCCCCCCACATCTGTAACACATTGATTTTTTTCTTTTGTTTAAATGATCAGAACTGATTTTACTCTGCTGTTTGGTCTTCTTCACAGACCTTTTATGGCCTGTGAACATTGAAGACATTTGTATTGGTGAAACAAACAGCTCTACCATTGACATTTGCCAGTGAGAAGCCTTGTACAGCTTGAAGTTTTGCTGAGGGAAGAATTGCTTTAAATTAATTAATTGACCACACATGTTCAAGAAAATACCCTTCTCTGAGCACTCACCAAGATTTGTTTTCGTATGTACAATATGATCCATGCAAAAGACTGACTTAGAAAACTTGAATGTATCACAGAATAGATGATATCGGAACTTATCTCTTGAGATCATCTTGGCCAATCCCTCTGCCCAAGAAGTATCCACCAGAGCAGGTTGCCCAGGACCGCGTCCCATCAGGTTTTGAAGATCTCCATGGATGGAGACCACCACCTCTTTGAGCAACCTCTTCCCTTGCTTGGTCACCCTCACAGTATAAAACTGTTTCCTGTGTTCAGACAGAATTTCATGTGCTTCAGTCTGTGCCTCTTGCACTGTCACTGGTTACCACTGGAAAGAGCCCTGCTCCATCTTCTTTACACCCTCCCATCAGATGTTTATGAACATTTATAAGATCCCTCCTGAGCCTTCCCTTCACCAGGCTGAACAGTCCCAGCTCCCTCAGCCTCTCTTCGTATGAGACATGCTCCAGTTCCTTAATGTCTTTTTACATTCAGTACTAAAAAGTGCTCAGCTGGTATTGTCCAGTTCTGCATGTGTAAACTGTTTTACTGAACTTACTGTAATTTTAGCCTCCTTAAAAAACAAGCTAGAGCTTTTAATAATTTTCATTGTTTTTATGGGTCAGTCTTTTAATGTCTGCTATAAATCAGGACCCAGATCATCAACTCCTTATCATATTCTTAGATCCACTGATGGTATTTATACAAGTAGAGAAACATCTGGGATTTCAGACAAAATAAAATCTAGAAACCAATTTGAAACTTTCCATAGGAATAGGAACAAGACAAACACTTTAAACAGGACCTTATATTCTCTGCTTCTATTTTAGGAACACCCATGTTATCTTTAATACAAAGACATGAAAAAAGCAATCTTTGTTTCTTGCACGGAGCCAAGTTCTGATGCTATCTGAAGGCTGATGTGGAATCACCCCTCAATAGGTCCATGAAGATCTTAACATATTGTTCCTAACTTATTCTTGTATCTGAAGATGTTACATGATGTTGTACAGTAACTTCCTACTAGGAACTGAGCCTCACATGCCAGCTAAGGACAGGAGGGCGAGTTGTGGTAGTTATTTACTTTGGTGGCCAGTGACTCAGCCTTGGTAAGGCTACTCCTTGGTGTAATGCTCACATTTGCTGTCATACAGTGAAAACATTCAGGATCACTGTGGAGAAACAGAACTCACAACATCCTTTTATCCTGCCCAGCCACTTTCCCTCTGGGTTGTCTGTGAGGCGAATGATTTCAATCTCATCCCCCTGTTTGATGGTCAGCTCATTCTTCCCTCCCTTGTGGTCAACACAAGCTCGTGCCTGATGAAGGACTTGGATGGGTCCCGTTAACTGCAGAGAAGAAGCAACAAAAGAAATCACAGATGTGGAAAAATTGAGTTCTTTCCCAAACATTCAGACAAAAGAGAAAATAACTGTAATGGTTATTATTCATTTCACTGACATTTAAAACCATCTAGGCAAATAAACAGAAAGGCACCACTCCTGTCCCCAGCTACCCAGTTTAAATTAATGGTCAGGAATAAAAAGAGAGAGCAATAGCATCACAGTAGAGCAGCTGAAGGAGGGATGGGCAGAGTCACAGAAATCCAATGACCAAGCCCAGTAGGTTGACAGAACAGGCATGTTAATTTCAGCGGGCAGCTCCATGTAATTCCAGCAGAACTACTCCTATGAGTAAATGTTAACATAAATAAATCTACCACATAATGTTCTGTGTTTACAATTCTACTCTATAAATGACTGTACAAATACTGACAGATGATCACACTATTTATTTGAATTCAGAATTCTCGTTGGGAGATCTTTAGTATATGTTACGGAGAAATCACATTGGATTTCAGTATCTGTGGCTTTAAGACATATGTGATCTTGCAGAAGCGTGTGGCTGTTGGCAATTATAGTCTAGCTCAGGAATATCCTGAGTAGGTGGGGAAGAAAATAGGGATTGAAATATATTGGTTTGCATTTAAGAATAATAACGTAGTTTCATGGCCACAAGACATCATTCTGCAGTCTGAAAGCATTCAGTGCACTAATGCCTACAACTCACAGTAGCGGTCTGAAAAAGAGACTTCGGGCCTGACAAGCACCAGACAACCCGCTATTATTCATTATTAGTATTTTCCTTTAATACTTGCTCCCCAGCTCATGTCAGTCTCTCCACAGACCAAGCAGACCAAGCCCATGATGTGAGAGAATCACCACAGCTTTATTGTGTACAGAGCATAATAGGAAGAAAACCAGCGCTGCCCACTGTGTACAATGACACTGAGGGAAGCACAGTGGAGCATTGTGAGCAGGCATTAGCTAACACAACATGACTGGCAGATTTGTAAACTGTGGTAGCATGCTGACCACCAGCTATATAAAAACAGTATAAACCGGAAAGAACTAGATCATCATTTAGCCCCTAGGCTTTGACAGTGCCTCTAGCTCCCCTGCATGTGCCCTATTCCCTTCCTCCCCATTTAGGCTGGAAGTCCCTTCAGAACAAGGCAAGGGCAATGTTCTGTAAAGTTGAAATCTCTTAAGGGATGGATACTGTTGTATCTGACTCCAATGAAGCAAGAAACACTAAATATATGGGATACAATTCCCACTTGTGCTAAGGACTTTTGATGCTATTCTAGTGACATAAAAGCTTTTTAAACAGAAACATGAAAGTAATTTTTTTTTAAAGTATTTTTTACACAGAACAAGAGAAGGAAATTTATTGAAAACTGTATAAGCACTGGAAAACTCTCTGCCCTTAGCACAGAACCTGAAGTCAAGCATAGGCCAAACATAGCAGGGTAGCTGAAATCTTTCTTCACAATTTATCCACGTGCTTGAACTACCTACCATAACAAAGAGCTTTGTAGCCAACTGAAAAGCGTATTTTGAATTCCAGAATGCTAAATAAGGCTTCTTACATGTCTTTGGCCAGATTACAAAACGAAAAGCTTACTTTGAATTTCTTCCTTATTTCCTGTTCTTTCTTTTCTTTTTCCTTTTGTTCTTTCTTCTCTTGGTCCATTCTTCTCTTTTCGTCCTTGTCCCGCTTCTTCTCTTTTCCCCTTGGTGTTCTGAAAGTGCATTGCCAGGACTGAATGCAGCAGTGAAGCAAATCTCACTAGACCTTTCTTGCCCAAGATTAACAAAGAACTAATTGTATTGGAAGAAGACTTCTCCCAGTGAAATCAGAGCCACAATTTCTAGAGCCTGGTGTGGCTGCAAGAGATGGAGTAAGCAGTCCTTTTTCTTATATTACACATATAATTCAAAGTGGCTTTTCTCAAGAGGGTAGTATGCCAGAAAAGGTTATTTGGAGGTAAGAGGCTGGCTGTACACATGCATGTCCAAACATCTCTGAGCTAATTTTTGCAAGAAGTTTGGAAACTGGTAGCAGCCTAGGTGTTGTGGTATTCTGTAACTGTCCAGTATTTGCCCAGACCATCAGTGATTGACGCAGCCTAGAAGCCTGAGCTACCACTGGACTGTCGTTTTAAACCTAATTGCAACCTATTCCAGCAGTTTACACAAGTGACAGTCAATCTTCTGCCCCATAAATGTGTCTGTCTATGCTTTACAAACCCTGTGGAACTGACTGAGTGAGGCTTCCTCCTCTTCCTTTTTTGGTACTTTTGCTAAACTGATATGCTTGAATTATATTAAAAAAAGAAAAAAAAAAAGACTGAATGAGGATCACTTGCTTTGGTTCTATAGTTTTAAAATTATCTATTTTCAAAGTGAATTCAACAATAAATTCTTTCTGAAAGTCATTCTACATCTGAAACAGGATATTCTTCTGTAGGAACTTTAGACTGTTGCTTACTACAAGGGAATTAGAGCTTTTCTTTGTCTATCATCATACAGTAAGTCCCATACATTTGGACTTTAGCAGGGCAAGAGACTCCTCGAAGTGAAGAGCTAAATAGCAGAAGAATGAGCAGAGCTTCTGGCTCTGTAGTGACGCTATGGGACTCAGGCCATGAAAAATCTCAGTTCAGCCTCTCATGGGAGTTCTAAGCACATTTAGGAGCAATAAAAGTACCTAAGCAATACCTAGGAGTATTAGTACCTAGGAGCAATAAAAAAACCCTGCAACAAAAGATCTATCTGTGACCATAGTACCTAGGGACTGAACTCATTCTTCCTTCTAGGCTGTAATTCCAAACGGTGATTCGGACATGTTCTTTAGATCAGAAATCAGACTTGTGTTATCTCAATCAGGGTAAACACACGATTTTATTGTAGAAGTTCTTCCAGCCCGAAGCACAGCAGATCTGGGTAGGAAAGAATGTGTGAACAACCTGACTTTCTCTAGGTGAAATGGGTGAACATAGCAGTGTCTGTCAGGAACTGCAGTAGAATCACACATTTGTGCCAGCTGAAGTGTCTTCGTTAGCAAGCTTTTAGTAATAAATATAAAACATGTTATATAGTTTAAAGTTACTACCTGATATCATTTATGTCTTCATACATCTCTCCATCACTTTCTTGGCCCTATAAAAAATATTCAGTTTTCAGTGGCCTAGATACTTTTGGAAAGATATGATGAAAATGGACCTCCTATGTGAGATTCATACAAACTGTATTAAAACTTTTACAGCAAAATGTAAATACAAATTAATTTACTCTTCCCAAATCAAGTTGCTACATTACTGAAAGTCACTACTCCACTCTTCTTTTTTTTTTCCCTGACTTTGTTTTCACAATACCACAACTATAAAGTCCCGGATTATTTTACAATCACATTAGCACATTGCTTAATACAAAGTGGATGTTTGAATTTCAGTGTTAGTTCTGGAAAGCCTTTATCTGTGTTGATGATTGTGCTGCCATGATATTAACTACTGCCAGGGTTAGTAGAAGTTAAACTGAAATGTCAGAGATCTAAATGGGACTCAGATTAGCGTCTCAGAGACAGTCCTAATACAGCCAGGTACTTAAAGACACCAATAAAAAACCTGTGCTTAACTGAAACGAGTGGTTTATTACTGAACAGAACAGGGCCCTTACTTCTGGAAAATTTCAGTGAAATTAAAAGTCAGTGGAAATAGAAGGGATGGTTTTGGTTTTTTTTAAATTATTTTTTGGTGCCTAGCCAGCTTTGATAATTAGTTCCAGTTTGCTCTGCTTACCCAGTTTTATTTTTGTCCTTCACAATAAGTATGTGCTTGTACAATTTACTGTCAATACACCATATTCATTCTGCAATTAATTTTCTAATGCACCAAAGGAGTTTTGTTAAATTTGCAAGTTCGTGCTAAAAAGGATAGGTTTATCATGGAGAACAACACTTACCCCCTCTGTAGTTCCGCGACCTATTTGACAAAAAAAACAAAAAAGTGTATTTATTTTTTTCAGTACAGAAAACAATTCATTGTAGTGTTAACTATTTACAAACTGCTAATACCAGTGATATTAACTAGAAATATGTGCAGCTTCCGGGCTTTTAATGAGGGTATGAATGCAATAATCAGAGTTTTTCCAGGTTGCTTCTGTAGTACATTGTGAACTAGAAATATCTACAAGATAGCATATTTCACCATGTATTTCTAAAAGTGGAAAATTCCTTTTAAAGATTTTTTATTGACACTGATGAACTTACTCATGCTATTTTTTTTACAAAAATACCTATTTCTACCAGAAAGTCATTGTTAAAAAAAACCCTAATAAATCCAAACAGACCTGCTTGAACCAGTCCAAAAGCTGAGTAAGGAGGCCAAGGGCTCTTCTGCTAAACCAGCTTCTACCCTGGTCTGCAGGAGATGAAACTCTCTGAATCTCCTGCTTCCTCCTTACTCTGCAGGTATTTAGGTAAGAAGAGCCTGGGCTCAGTCTCAGCTCCACGGCACACATGGGATGGCTAGCACACTAAACGATGCACACTGTGCCTGGCACAGGCCGAGTCCTCCCGGGGAGAGATCAGGAGGCAGATTGAAATTCTTTGTGTCACAGTCTGCTTCTCTGGTTGCTCCTGGTACAACACAGCGGATCGCTGCCTCTTACTGCAGGCAGGCCAGAAAGCGACATTAAAAGCACAGTCAACAACTTTTTTAAAATCAAATATAAAACAATGCCTGCTCCACCAGAGCACGCAACTTCAGGTCTGAAAAAGCAGCATTCATTTTTGGTTCAGATTTGAAAATATGGTAATTTATGGTCCTAGCAAATATCTGACCAAAAAAAAGGCAGGTACAGGGGATATTTAAAGCAGTTCCTGAGAGTCTGTCATATTAATTATAGAATGGTTAGTGGTATGAGACAACCATTTTCACCCATAAAACTGCAGAACCAACATAATTAGACACGGGTCACTCATAAATACAATATGCTTTTGCTTATCTGATAAATACATTATGCTTACAACTTTATATAGCTGCCATTACTTTAAATGTATGCATCTTACCCTGTGAAACAAATTCAATGTCATCATAGTTTTCTTCATTGTCTGGACTTCTGTAAATATGAAAAAGTAGACATGTGAAACCTATGAAGATGGCATTGTGATTGCATTTTCATTCACCATTCGGGTGCTTTTTTCAGCTATTTTACACAATGGCTTAACAGTCCTGTATTCTGCTTAAGTACCCACGAGATTCCCCTAATTGTTCTACCTGATTGCAACTCATTTTTTCACATGGGGACACCTTAATCCTGAGTATAAAAGGACAAAACGAGCCAAAGGCACTCAGATACCATGGAGATGAGTGTGGTATGAAAAATATAATAGGCAGATGGGCTGACTGAATGGAAAGAATCTGTTGGGCCTTTTAACCACCTCCACAGGTGCAGGCTTCTTACAGAATGCACAAGCACAACGCCAGACTTTTGCTCGATGTTAAATATATCTCCAAGATGTGCTCCTTGACATTGTGGGGCTTAAAGTCAACACAAGGGACAAGAGAAACAGTGGTATAAGACTGCCAGGTAAAAGGTCTCTGATGTTGTTAGATTTAAAAGTGCTGTCAAAGTGAGAGAAGCAAAAAATTGAGAATGTAACTAATAATAACATCAGGGACTTTAAAATTTGTGATACATTGTAATAGTTGAAAGAAAACTAAGGCTGACCATCATCATCAAGGAAGTGCAAACAAAGAAAGGATTTGAAAGCAGAATGTCATGTTTTAAAATTGGCTCGATGGAGAAAGCACCGAGACGGGGTGAAAAAAATGTGTCTGCGCCCAAGCACATATTTTCAGCAGAGGGAAGAGTCCAGAGGGCACGCAGGAAAGGGAGAGTAGAAAGACAATCTCGAGGTGAATTTCACGGGTCCTTGAAGGCAAAGAGGACACACTTGGCTCCCAAGGATTTGGCAAGGAGGGTATCCAGGAGGGTACCCAGGAGGGCTCCGGCCGCTATATGGGGAGGCAATGGCAGCTTCCCAGGCGTGCTGCCGGCAGGGATGGTGGGACGTTTCCCACAGCCCGGAGCACAGCAGCACTAGGCTCATGCTGTCACACCATCCCTACCAGAACACAGTGTGGGTGTTGACACACTCCTCTCTAATGCCTAATACGTTCTCCCTGTCTGCCTTTTGCTGCTATTTGCCGTAACTGCTGGCCAGGGAGCGGCTCATTCAGGCTCAGCTTGTTTCCCATCAGTTTTGACGCTAGACTGCAGTGGTTTGAACCCCTCGTCACTGTGAAGTTCCCCTTCCGCGTGCAGCTCTTGGAAGAAGGGTGAAGCAGCCCCACATGGAACAGAGGCTTCTTGGTGTTATCACAACAGGCCACAGCGCGGCTCCTGGTGGTTTCACAAGCAGCGCCGAGCTCTCTACCTCTGGCTTGCACAGCTGCTTCCTGGCGTATCCACCAGTAGACCTGGCCCTCTTCCCCCAGAAAAATGCAGGGGAAAGCTTCATTTACCTATATAAATGATTTTCTACCAGTGTATGAACTCTTTAAACCCTTCTGGAATTAAACACCCAGCGGGGTGTCTGTTCCCTCCCCCCTTTCCTTTACCAACAGGGCAGAAAAAACTGTTGCTATAGATAAGACAATTTCAGGAAACAGCAGTATAGATGGAGGGTTCAAACTAAGAAAAACGAATTCCAAACAGGCCAGGGGAAAGGGTAGGACAAGGAAAGTAGAATGGGACCTCACTCTCCTGGAAACTAGCCTTAATGTGCTCTTGCATGAGCAAAGTATTAGGCAGAAAAAGGTGAGAAAATAAAGACCTTGGGGTCTATGTTCACTTACATTGTTTCAGAGCTGAGCTTGATGTTTCTGGGAGGCAGGCTGGGAGCTGCTGGGGTCGTCAGGGATGGATGAGAGGCTGGTGGAGGAGGTGGCATCGGCATTGGAGAGTGTGATGGAGGTACTGGTGTGGAGAGTACTGCTGTGGAAGGTGGTATCTGTTTCAAACCTTCATTTTTAGGGCCTGAAAAAAAGCAGAACAGGCCAAATTTATCATGCAAACAGCTGAGGAAGGAACTTTACTGTTTACATGGAGTATTAGGATAAAATATCAGTACTGCACACACCCCAGAGCAAATATATTTTCTTGAACCTACTTCTTAGATATATTTGCTGCCTTATCTTACCAGAGTAGAGAGGCTTTGCCTAGGGGAATGTAGTGCCTGTAGTAGGCCGTGAAAACATCTTTGCGAAGACATGAACAAGACACAAAACCATCAATTCATCCAGTATATAGGCACTTGTGCTTTAAAACTAAATTATCATTTAATTCTTCAATTTGCTTGAAGAAACCAGCTGCAGAGTTTCATGTGATGCAGTCTTGCTGGAGTATTCCTTGCTCAGAGACAGAGATTCAAAGGAAGGGATGAGAAATGAGAAGCTATTTTGGCATTGATCAAGAAGTGTACAGGTCTCTCTACATCTTCAAATATGTTTGTAACTTAATTTGTAAAAGGCTGGACTTAATTTTCTAGCAAGCTCATACCAGAAAAGTGGCAGTATGAGAAGATACAGCCTTAAAAACAAGATGATGCACCAGGCACAGAAGCCATAATTACATGAGTGGCCTGGTGTGAATGTGTACTGCACTGAATTCATGCTCTGTGTACAAGCCACAACCAAAACATAGTAACCACTGCTTTGCAAGTTCATCTTGAGAGAAGTTATTCAACACAACCAAATGAAATTACTGTTTGGATGCCATGATATCGAACCTAAAATTTTGATTAAAAGCTACCCAGGAAAGAATTGTCTCCAGCTGTATTACATGTATGGAGAAACCTAACAAAACCTAAGCAGGAACAGAGCAGAAGGAAAAAGCAAATTCACAGTTTAGTTAAAATGAATTGCAATTGAAAAGACACCCTTATCTTCTGGAGATTCTCTTCAAATTCACACGTGTATAGTGGAGATTAAATTCTTGTCAAGAAAAAGAAACTTTCACTTCATTCGAAAAAAAGTGGTTTAAATGCAGAAGAATGACAAATACTCAGTTATGCTTAATAACAGGGCAGAAAGTTACAAAAACTAATGAAAGAGCTTTCTTTAGCTGCTTGGGCATCTGAAATCCTGTCCTTGAGATAGACAGGAGACAGAGAATCAATGACTTAGAAGAATCTCTCATGTGTCACATAGAAATCAAAGTGAATTTACCAAGCCTTGACAGTTTTTCTGCCTACTAACAAAGAACTAAACAAATTCTGGGTAAATTTGGCTTCATGGCTTCTTGGAGCAACTTGTCAGCATATCTGTCAACAACAGTGCATTTGAACCCTCTTAAATTCCTCCATTACTTAAAGAGCAAAGTACTAAAAGTCCCAATACTGCTGATTACACGGATGTATTTTTTGGTGTTTTTGTTAAGGAACATTTTTCTTGCCAAAACAGACTCTTACAACTTAAGATATGGCAAGATTGAAGCTGTACGGTATCACATTATCTTTTTATTCACATATCTTTTTATAATTTTATTACAAAGTATAGCCCAAAATTCAAGTGAAATAGTCCTTTCACTTAGTACTGAGAAAGCTACAGCTGGCTTGATGTGTGCCAGCTGGAGAGAGCCCAAAGGAGAACAGTGAGAATGATTAGAGGTCTAGAAAACATGAATCCCTGGAGATATTGAACAAATGGTGGCTGTTTAGGGAAATATGATAAGACTGAGGGAGAACAAAATGAATACCTACGTCGCTGTCAAGGAAGAACGGGATAATTCTTTTTTCTTCTTCATTTCTGCAGTGCAGAAGACAAGAAGTAATGTGTTTAAAGGCCAGCAACCTGTGTTAGGAAGCACTTTCTAAGACTGAACGTGGAATTTCTATGGCTTGAGGTCCATGTTGGAGAAGTAGGATAAACATGGCACAAATAAGTTCTGGTATAGTTGTTCTTACCCTACACATAGGAATGGACCAACTAATTCCTTTATGTCCGTTCCAATTCCATGATGACATCCTGTGTTATCTTATATTTTACAAGTCATCACAACTAAAATACTTGCCCCTATAGGGGGGGCTCTATATATTGAGCCCAACTTACAGACATCTACTAAGATATCATTTTGGGTAAAACTTGTCTTCCAGAAAGATGTCTTACTTGTTCAAAGACAATAAGAGAGGAAAAATGTACCACTACAGAGTTCATTTGGTTAAGTTTTCTCACCATTAACATCTGCATCTTACTGTTTCCTAAGTGCATCAGGCTTCAGGTTCTATTACTTTCATTTCTACCTTTGCTTACTAGTCAAAAGCCTTTTTACAATTGCTGTTTTCTACCCAGAAGGTATGAACTTAACCAATATCTCAGATTTCTTTTTGATAACGCTAAAAACTTTATAACCTCATCTCAAGGCTTTTTTCTTTTTTTTTCATCTAGCAATTAATTTGTATTTATGTAATCTCTCCAACTTTTCCAGCATTGTAAAATCCCCGACACTGCAATTCTACACAGCATGCACTTGTCTGCCAAATGCAGTGATGAAAATTACAATTCATTCTTCATCTGGCCATATCTCTACTGATTGCATCCAGGGGGTTTCAGTATTTTCTCCAATTGTCATCTCTCCTCCTGTTTTGCAAGTGCAGACACCTGAATATCAAACTAAGGCCCATTAGCAAAAAGCTTTTACTCAAAAACTTTGTAACTATATGAAAATTATTCAAGGGTAAAACTCCCAGAATTTAGGTTCACAGGCTGCCAACCATTATGCATTAGACTTTTCCGTCACATCATTGTCCTTGTTAAACTGTAGAGTTTTTTATGATGTCTAGGTATTTTCCCAAGGCATTACACTACCTCACTTCGCAGGTATGGTTTACAATTCTTCATTCTACACATATATTTGCATTTGGGTAAGGACAAACTGTTTAAATGATCCAAGATTACACATAATTTTGCTCTTCTTGTATCTGAGTATCTGAGGACTGTGTGTTTGCATTTAACTCTTCACTGTCTTTCTCCATCCACAAACTTTATCAGCTATAATCTCTTATTGTTCTAAAATTCCTTATAAAGATTATTAGCACTGACAATCTAAACACGTATCTGCAGCTGAACATTTTTAAGCAGATTCTAACCAAGGAAAGAAGCCAGAAAATTTTATTTTCATAAAAGCCATGCTAATTGGTACTAATTATATGCTCAAATTTTTGTTTTAGCAGGAAATCCTGTATCAGATTTCCCATGTTTATAGTTATGTTGCCCTAATACAGTGTTGTGTATATGCACAACATGCACACATGCATTGTGTCATCATTCAGCATTACTTCGCTGTGGTTCATTTTTAGGACTAAGGTAAAAATTGTGCCCAAGTCTCTGTGCATAATATTTCTCTCATCTGATGTCTCTTGAGAGCCAAATCCAGGCAATAGGAAACTCAGCCACATAAGGACATCACATGCATTTTAGATTAAGTGCTTATTTTTAAGCGTAAGTGCTGAACAACCTGTCCCTTTTAATTTATGTACATTGCTGGAATCTAACAATAAATAAATGTTAGTTCAGTTCCATCATATTAATGGAAACACTGCTTTTTATTTTCTAACTAATAGAACTGGCTCTTCCCTGCCTTTAGTGTTGTAATTACAACTTATGACTGAGAATTATGGGGGTGTAAAATGCTTGAACTTTAATACTAAAAATAATGGGACAAGTTAGGTAAGAAGGTGACACTCAGTATGCAAAAGCTATTATAATAAGGCCCACAGAGCCAAAGCTATCATAATATTTCCGTAGTGTTTTTTTCTTATTTTACTGGAGCATTTAATTTTTACTCCAGTTCCATCTTTTTGTGCCTCTGAGACACTTGGTACTCTGAGGACATGGAAAGGCTGTGCAGGTGGTGGAACTCGATTCAGGTCCAGATACTCAGAATAAAAAATCAAACTGAAACTACATCCTGGCTTTGCATGCACCTAAAGCACAGGAAACAGCGCGAAAGACCATCACAGTGTTGTAGCTCTGACCACTAACACATCAGTTTCCAAATAGCCTCTTCTCTCTTCTTGGGACTTAGCTTTTTCACTTGCTGTGCTCCACTGAAGAAACAGATGTAGAAACTGAAGCTCTTCACAAAGAAATGAAAGAACAGATGAAAAGGAGTGAGTTCCTTAAAACCTGTGCAGCTGTATAGAACCTAAGAGAAACTGTCCATAGAAAGTACCAAATACCCTATTACATTGCTGCCTGTGGTATTAAACTTCTTTAATCATGCCCAGAGCTTCAGCACTTAGAGCAGAACTGTGCACAAAACACTGCAAACACTTCTCTTGTGCTCTTGGGGAACCTTCTCAAACAACTTCCATATGTGCAGCAACCAGGAGGTCACCTACGTTCTTGGAGGATGTTTATTTATCAGGAAGTTCAGGACACTTAAATTGCCTTGATGTAAAACTTGTGACTTTGACCCTTGTCATTCCTGACTTGTGAAAGGTAAATACTGATACCTCTTTGGCAGCTAACATAACATCTAGAGAAAATTCTCATTTTCCCTTCATGTTCAGATATTCTGTGTTCAACAGCATCAGGAGAAATCAACAGTATCAATAACAGTAATCTATAATTTCCATTCCTCTCCTGTGTGAACTCAAAGAAAAAAATAGTAAAAAACCCAATGTAAGTCCTGCTTTTCGGAACCCATATATTCTTTGTAGCCAAACACAAGTTTCAGGGCAGGAAAGATAGCCATTTCCACTTTGCTAAAATATTCAGTGCTGTCCTGAGTTGTCGTATCACTCTGTCCTGAGATGCTAATAACAGAAATACATGGCAAATGGAAGGGAAATCCCAGCAGTGCCTGGAGTCCTTATTGGAGTAACACATGAAACAAGCTGTACTTGTGGGATTGTAATCTTATGTGAACCAGTACTTTGGCCAGGGCCAGTTCTCCCCAGTCCTTTTTCAAAATCGTAAAACAAGTTGGACTCATGTTCAAGGGTGATATGGACTCCAGTACTGACAAAGATGAAA